CTGGAAACTTCTCCTCTGTGAACACCATACTACAAGTCAAAGACGACAGAACCTCTGTCGTGTCTCACAGAGGTTCTGGAAGATTTCCTCTGCGCTCTACAAAGTTTCATCCAACAGAGCCTCTGTGAAGTCTCACAGAGGATCTGCAGAAATGTCTTCTGTATAGATTATCTTAAGCATGTTTTATTTTACTTAGGCTTATTAGCTGCTCGTGACTTAGAGAACCGTCAAAAATTTCAACTAAAAAATAAAAATATGAAATGATTTTTCATTATCGCAATTGAAGTAATGAGCCTCCCAAAGGCTTAGAATTGACAGCTTAAGGTTGTGTCAGGAAACGGTTACTTACTTGTATAAATAGCAGCATAGGCCTTTGTATTTTGTGTGCTTCCAGATTTGTAATCGTCGATATTTTCAATCTATTGAAAATCATTTGAAGCAATTCTCTTTGTGTTCATCATCTATTCTTCATTGTGTTCTTACTGTTTCTACCTGTTTGATTGATACTGTTTTCGCTGCTCTACTACTGTCTAACCGATCATTCAAGTAAGTTTTAGTACCAAGAATTTGAGTTATTCGATCCTAACAGATTAGTTTTCTCAGGGCCTTGTGAGTTATCTTTGGCAGATTTGCTATTTCTCAGTTTTCCCTTTTCTTTGTCCGAAGATTTCATCAATGATGGAATAACAGTTTTCATTGAGGATTTTAAGTTTTTAGGCTTTTTATCCTTAATGATTTCTGATGATTCACAGATTATTTCTTCTTCAGATTCAGAATCGAGAAAGTCTCTTGTTGATTTCTCGAAGTTAAAATTAGCATGAATGTCTGTGGGAGGAGTGGGTTCAGAGGTTGATGCTTCAGAGTGATTCGTCTGAGGTTCCATCGATTCTGACTTAGATGAACTTCCATTTTTACTTGGATGGTTCATCGACTCATCAGTTGATGGTTCCTCGTTTGGATTCTCCTTTTTATCAACAGTACTTGCTGATGAAGTGGGATTGACAATCAGAGACTCTGGTTTGACAATAGGGTTTCCATCGGTCTCTGATTTGGAGGTGTCATTTCTTTCGTCAGAATTCTTACTTGTACTGTTCTCGTACACCACATTCTCAAAATCCTGTCTTAAAACGACAGTTTTTCCATCGACTTTAACTCTTTTAAAGTTTGCTTTTGGTTTTGGGAGAAAGTCGGGTTTCTGAATGCATCCAAGTTTGAAAGTGGATTCAAGGGTGGATTTCTTTGATTCGATGAAGAGGTCCAATTCATTGAATCCAATCCCTTGAGTGTCTGTTTGATCATTTAATTTTTCATAAACATCTTGGGCATCTTTATACTTCTTCATTAGAAGTTCATTGGTTTGAAGCTTCTGGTGAAGGATTTCCCGTTCCTTTTGAAATAAATCTTTAAGAGTAACTGAATTTAGTCTCTCTGCCTCGGATTCTTTTAAGGCCTTAGTTTTCTTTTCTAAGTCCTTAGTTATTCGTTTATTTAGTTCCAGAAGTTTATCTTCCTCTGATTTCTTAAGTGTGGTGATGCGAGTCTTTTCCTTAGCAAGTTTTGCTTTTTTCTTCGGTTAGAAGGTCAGTCTCTCTTTTGTAGAAACTTGCTTCTTTTTCCGCTTTTATTCTTTCAGATTTTTCAAAATATAATTTCTCTTTTAATTTAAAGAAATCCTTTGAAAGTTTTATCACCCTTAACTCTAGCTCAGATGGAGCAGAGTTGGTTTCATTGGAAGTAGACTTACATACCTGATCATCAGAGTTGGAGGCAGATTCTGCATTGGACGTGGCCATTAGACATATGAGTGTTTTGTCTTCTTCATCGGATGAAGAATCAGACACCCAGTTTTCTTTCTCAGCCATCAGGCTTCGCTCTCTAGGATTATACTTGTATTTATTCTTGTAATAGTCAGCATCCTTTACCAGTCGTCCTCTGCATTCTTTTGAAAAATGACCGAGTTTTCCGCACCTGAAGCAGCGAAGGTCATTTTTCCTTCGATCCGTGTCCTCTTTCCTCTCGTCTCTTCTATCTTCTCTTCTTTCTTCTCTCCCTTCTCTTCCATCTCTTTTGTCTTTCCTCTGATGAAATTTAGATGGCTTCCTTTCATAGGATGACTGGAATCTTTCCCTCTTGAATTATTTTCGTTCATAGGGTTTCTTGATGAAATTTTTTCGGAACTGCTTTGTAATCAAGGCTAGAGTTTGGCAAAGGCTTTAATATCATCATCTGATTCAGAAGTTTCGTCTTCAGATTCTGATTCTACCACCAGTGCTTTATTTCCTTTCTTGTTATGTTCTCTGGTAGGGGTCCTTGATATTTCCTTTTCATTGGCAGCAAGAGCTAGAGGGCCACTGATGGATAACTTCTTCTTCATAATGTCGTTCTCTTGTGCTACAAGCGTTCCATACAGATCATGAAGTGACCAGCCGTCTAGGTCCTAATTTTCTTGAAGGGACATCGACAGCTGAGTCCATTCATCGTCAAGACTTTTTAGGAATAAAACATTGTTTTCTTTAGTTCTGGAGATATCGTTTCGACGACATTGATTAATCAACATGTTAAAATGATCGTATGTCTTTTGAATCGGTTCATCTGGAAGAGCCTTGAAGGTGGTGTATTCGTTCAGACATTGTGCTCTATGATTCTTCTTTGTTTTTGCCTCTCCTTCCAGTTGGCTTCCCAGTTCATCCGATAGTTCCTTGGCTGTTGAACATGCATCAAGGGATTGGAAGATTTTATTGGGTATGGCCAAGATTATCAGTCTTTTGGCCTTCTTGTTGGTCTCAACCCGTTCTATGTCGTCTTCATCCCAATTCTTCTCATCCTTGGGCATGTAGTAGGCAGGGATTTCAGTTGTGGTATTTGTTCCTAGGACTCTTGGGACAAGAGTCTGTGGAACGTAAGGACCCTCCATTACAGATCGCAGGAGGTTCCTATCCATTCCTTCCAAGAAGTTTACCATTCTTATCCTCCATTGCGGGTACTCTTCTCGTTGAAGAGTTGGAGGCTTGGTGAGGGAGCCAACACTATATGCAGAATTCAAGTTGGCCATTGAGGATTTTTAGAAGAGAGAAAATTTACATTTATGGGAAAAAAACATGAATTGAGAGATTTTGGATGATCGTTTGATTGGAAAAACAATTAATTGGCTCGGATACCAATTGTTGATCCCAGATCWCTC